TTGTGCCCTTGAGATACCGTAGAACCCGTTTGAGAGCTTGCCAATGATTTTCAGTAGGAGAGTGCATGAATTGGGCCAACCGATTAATGGCAAAAGACACATCAGGTCGTGTAAAGGCAAGATATTGAAGAGAGCCTACCAGTTTGCGGTACGGTGTTGGATCCACGCTTGGTGACCCATCCATGGGGTGGAGAACTTGGGAAGAGTTTAGAGGGGTAGCCACGTCTTTAGCACCATCCATGTGAAATTGGGTTAGAAGGTTTTGGATATGACGATGTTGAGAGAGGAAAAGACCATTAGACGTGGGAATAACTTCAATGCCAAGAAAGTGATGTAGGGGTCCCAAATCTTTTAGAGAGAATCGGGTAGACAGAGATTTGATGAAGGTGTCAATGAAGGAATTGTTGTTGCCAGTGAGGACTATGTCATCGACATAGACCATAAAGAAACAAGAGATGTTTTGGTGGTTGTAGATAAACAGGGAAGCATCAGCTTGGGATTTTCGAAAACCATAAGAAAGAAGGAATGTAGTGAGTTCTGTGTACCAAGCCCGTGGGGATTGTTTTAGGCCATAGAGGGATTTGCGAAGTTTGCATACATGTTTAGGGTAGTCTGGATGAATAAAACCAGGGGGTTGAGTCATGAAGACTTCTTCGTGAAGTGTACCATGTAAAAAGGCGTTGTTGACATCAAGTTGGCGAAGGGTCCAATTATGAGAGAGTGCAAGAGAAAGGATAACACGAATGGTGACGGGTTTAGCAACTGGACTAAAAGTATCAAAATAGTCTTTGCCATGTTGTTGAAGAAAACCTTTTGCTACTAAACGAGCTTTGTATTTGGAGATTGTGCCATCTGGATTTCTTTTGACTCGAAAAACCCACTTACAACCGATAGGAGTGTGGCTGTCAGGAGGAACTAATTCCCAAGTTCCATTTTGCATAAGAGCATTGAATTCTTGATCCATTGCATGTCGCCACTTTGGATCTTTTAGGGCTTGATTATGTGTAGTTGGTTCAATTGTTGTGGGAATAGGATGAAGTGTGGTGTTATTAACAAAGGATTCATTGAAATATCTAGAGTTTTTCTTTCGTGGTCGAGTGATATGGGAGGGTGAGTTGACTGGAGTGAGTATAGTATTTGATGGAGGTGAGGTTGGTGAATTTTGGGTTGGAGGAGGAGTAGGTGAGTGGGCTGATGTGGGTGATGTTAAGGAGATAGGAGTGGATGGGATGGTAACCGAGGGATTGGGACTGGAGGTGGGAGATGGTGGCTGTGATAATGGTTGCTGTGGCAGAGAGGGTGGTTCAGGAGGAACAGAGCCAGATTGTTGTGAGGGTTTTAATATAGTGGAGATGAGTATATGAGGTGGTAAGTTGGTGTTGGGAGTGGTTGTTGTTGTAGGTATGGTGGCTGTGGAAGGAGGAGTAGAAGTGGCAGCAAACTGATCAGGTGTAGGTAAGGATAGATCGGAGGGAGAGAGAGATGGGAATTGATCATTGATGAACTGAACATGGCGGGAATGGTATAGTCGGTAATTTTGTGGATCATAGCATTTGTAAGCAGATTTTGAAGTTGAGTAACCAAGGAATAGGCAAGGGGTAGAGCGTGGTTGTAGTTTTGAAGTGGTATAGGGACGCAACCAAGGGTAGCATAAGCAGCCTGATGGCTTGAGTTTGGTGTAATTTGGAGTTTGACCGAATAATCGATAAAATGGAGTGAGATTTTGGAGAGTGGAGGTAGGTAATCTGTTTATGAGGTATACGGCGGTTTCAAAGGCATGGGACCAGAATGTTAACGGAAGTTTGGCATAATGAAGAAGAGATAACCCGGTTTCAACGATGTGGCGATGACGCCTTTCCGCAATTCCATTTTGTTCAGGGGTGTGGGGTGGGGTAGTGTAGTGAGAAATGCCATGTGTTTGAAGAAAGGAGGCGAGACCAATGTATTCACCTCCATTGTCACTGAATAAGGATATGATGGGTGTTTGAAGGAAATTTTCAACAAGTGTTTTGAATTGAGGAAAGATAGTGGCAACATCTGATTTCTTTTTCATGGGGTAAAACCACACATATTTGGAGAAATAGTCAACAAAAATGACATAATAGCTGAATTTGTCAACTGAGGTTTGAACAGGGCCCCATACATCTGTGTATAATAATTGTAAAGGTTTAGAGACAACAAAGGAGTTGGAGCCAAAAGGCAATTTATGACTTTTATTGACTGAACAAGATGAACAATGCATATTGGAAATTGCAGAATTAAGACCTAACTTAGACAAGAGACACTTAAACACTTTGGTGGATGGATGACCGAGGGTATGATGCCAGTGACAGGAGGCTGTTTTGATGGTGAAGTGGAGTTGTGGATTGGATGGCGGCTGTGCATAATAAACATCTTCAAAGTTCTCCCCCCGCATGAGAAGCGCCCCCGTGCGAAGATCCTTCACAAGAAAATAATGGGGAAAAAATTCAACAGAAACCCAGTTAGTTTTACATAACTTTGCAACAGAAATAAGATTCTTTTTCAGCTGTGGAACACATAATACATTAGGAAGATTAAGTGTTTTAGATGATGTGTGTATGTGTGTAGAGCCAGTGTGGGAAATGTTTAAAGTTTTACCATTCCCAAGAACTATTTCATCTGGGCCACCATAATCTGATACACTTTGGAGGTTGGATCGGTCACCTGTAACATGATTGGATGCACCACTGTCAAACAACCAGGGTGGAGACACAGTAGAAGAGCCTGTCATGGTTACATTTGCTACTGGTGGAGCTTGCTGCAGATTAGTGAGAACCACATTGTTTTCTCGAAGAAATCTGGCCAGCTTTCGGCACTCAGAGGTCATATGACCTGATATATTACAGAATTGACAAAAAGTGTTGGATTTGGGCTGTCGATTACTACTAGTATTGGAGGACCTGTTGGGGCGATTTGTGGGTCCACGTTGCTGCTGAGTAGAGGAGCGATTTTTGAAGCTGCCACGTTGGTAGTTGGAGTTGTCTGATCTTCCATGGGAACAATTAGATTGGCGAGCAGTGTAATCAACAGTGGTGGCTACCGGAGTAGTAGAGATTGTGTGCTCTTTTAGGGCTCGCTCAAAGTCTTGTAATTTATCAAATAGTTCGGAATAAGAAAGTGAGTTTTCTCTGATTTTGATGGCAGCTACGATGGTGTCGTATTCAGTACCTAGTTGGGAGAGGATGTGAACCAGTAAGTCTTCCTCTGAAACAGGGCTCTGTGCGAGAGCTAGGTCATCAGCAATTGACCTCATATCTTGAAGAAACTCAGCAATTGATCGATCCCCCTTTGGATTTTTAACAAGTTTCGATTTTAGGGATATAACCCTAGATCGAGAGGCGCTGGCAAAACTGGTAGTGAGGCGTTCCCAGACTTCTTTGGATGTGGTAGCAGATGAGATTAAAGGCTGAATTGAGTCTGAACAGCAGCCAAGAATGGCACTGATGATAGTCTGATCTTGACGATACCAGATGAGATACTCTGGATTCGTTTTTGACGCGGAGCTGTCTTTGTCATTCAAGTGTTTGCTCGGAGGTGGCTGGTCACCAGTGATGAATGAATCGAGATCTAGTCCGATTAAAGTAGCTTCAACCTGTCGTCGCCAGACAGGAAAATTGTTGGCGGTGAGTTTGATTGGAAAGTGAGTAGTAGCAGTGACTTGAATAATTGTTTTGGCCATCGTGTGTGTGAGACCGAGAGACAAGAAAAAGATGAGGCGGAAGTGTGGGATCAACTCGTGAGAGCAATTATGGGCTCTGATACCATATCAAGGTATACTGAATATGTATTTCTGTTTCTGATGAATGAAATCAATGTTACAGAGATGGCTTTATAGCCAGAATACAACAATTAACTAGGAGCTAAAACAGGAGATAGAATCGGTAAACTATTGACTAGTTATTTACATATAAAATAAATACTATAAATTAAATGTAATTTATCCATGTGCCTTAATAACCACATAGTTTTAGTTGGGAAGTAATTTTGAACATGGCTGAATTATACTCACTCACAGATTTAAAATCTTGTAGCCGAAGGTGTAACCAATCAAAACGAGCTCTAGGAAGTATCACCGTTTTTTGATGATCATACCTCTCTTTCAGATTATTCCAAAGATTAGCTGGATCTTTGACAGTGAGGTATTCAGCTTTTAATCCTTCATCGAGATGGTGGCGAAGGAAAATCATCGCCTTAGCCTTTTCTTGGCTTGATGCTTCATTTAAAGGATTTACATCCTTTATGGTGTTTCCAAGACCCATAGCATCAAGGTGGATTTCAGCATCAAGGATCCATGATAAATAATTTTTTCCACTAATGTCAAGAGCCATAAACTCAAGTTTGCTAAGGTTTGACATAGTGAAAGTACTAATCAAAATAAAGAGTTGTATGTTAGAGGATTGTTAGTTAAGAAATATCATAAAATTACTTGTGAGCATTATATAACTTGTGAGCATTATACATATGAACTTTGAAAAAAAAAATTATATATATATATACCTGACAATGACAAGAATGACAAGAAGTTGGAACTCTATGGTAGAGCCTCGTGCTGATAACGTGTTATAAAATATGATCAAATAACAAGATAAATTATAAAGTAAAGAAAGACATGAGAGTAGAGAGAACTTTTATTCCAATACTTGTGATGAAATCATCAAGTTTCTAATACATATGACTCACTATTTATACTATCCAAATAAGATGAAAAGACAAGTTATAATATGAATGCACATTATGATGGTGTATTATTACATTCATGAAACACATTGAAATGGTTGTTACTAATGCTAAATAATAATGGTGAGTTATGGGAGAAATGGAGAATCCAATGGTCATTCACAAACTAATATTTCATAACAGGTTATTTATTGTTCCAATAAATAAGTGAAACAAAAAAACTTATCTAGAAATTTATCTACAAAATATAATAAAATACATAATTGCAGTCAATATGGGATAGACAAAACTTTCCACCAAAATTACTTGCAGTTCAAAATTATAACAAAGCAAGGTAGTACAACACTTGGGTTTCTTACAAACAAGTAGTTTGATTTTACTCCTCCAAAAGAATCATAGTCACCTTCGAAGTCCCTATCGAGCATATCAATAACTCTTCCTGTAATTACTCTACAAACTATGATAGCCATCTTCACATTCATCATATTTGCATTCATATTAGCGTTAACTAGATCTTCGCAACTTGTGCTGAACCATATTCCATTTTTCTTCTTTGTAGTGTAAAAGCCTGATTTAAATATATTGCAGATGCTGTAATTGGAGTCTCTACAGAGATTGGATGTTCCCATTAACTTGCAACGAGTGGTGTTAGTGCCACAGAACAATAATTGCTCGTTACCATCTACCATATTTCTAGGATGTTTATTATAATCTACATAGGATCTGTTCTTGACATCCTCTCTAAAACTTTCGAAACTCTCTAGAGTTTCCCTCGAATGATTCAACTTAAGGACATGTTTTATGTTTACTGAACACCTTGTGATGTCTGTTGTTGTTGCTCTGAAGATCAACTCGATAACATTTCTTGATGAGTCCCCTGTCTCTAGTATTGTTTTGCCTGATAATTTGGGTCATAAAATTAAGCATAAGCAAATGTATTTGCATGATAGTTTAATCATCATTTCAGTGGGGTTACTATTTTTTCTAACAGTATATATATGTATGGCGCATTAAGGTGAATTTTCTTTGGCTTAATGGACTTAATTAAAAGGATGAATATTGATATACATTCATCATTTCAATAGGGTTACTGTTTTTTCTAACAGTATATATGTGTATGGCGCATTAAGGTGATTTTCCTTTGGCTTAATGTTTCTGGTTTACTTAATACAGGAAATGAGACTATCCTTAAACGTTTGGAGAAGACGAGAATTTCCATAAGTCCTAAAGTTTAAACATTTTCCCTGATTTTTCTATCTCTTCAAATAATTTTTAAGTATCATTTATCGATACAAGACTTGGGCAAAGTGCTTTTGGCAATTTTCAGTAATGCAATAAAACAAACTTGGTTAGAATCACACGTTATGACATGCTTTATGTTGAATTGTAGTCTAGACTTGAAAAAGGTTAATTTGATAGATAGGTTATGGTAGTTAATTAATATGAGAGGTTGTGACGGTTATGTTGAAGCATTGTGATGATTATCATTGATTAATATATGTCTATAAATTGTAAACATGTTGTAGTGATTGTGATTAATAAAAGGTTTGTTTTCTATACAAAGTTCCCCTGTAATTCTTATTTTTTTTCATCAGTCTTTCTCTAACACAGTGAGAAAACATTGAGGAAAGAAAATATTTTACAAGGGAGAAAAGAAGAAAGAAATATATGTAAGTTCTAAACATGGTGATTAACCTTGATCAACAAGATTTAGACTTTATGACAATAAAAAAGTAACATGGTAGACAACATCGGAGAAGAATGGAAGAACATGTAGCAAAAGAACTTTTGGAAAATTGACTTCATCAAGTATTTCAAGTGTAACTAAAATAGATGCAATAATAAAACAAGTGCATGTGTTTGTTCTTCAAAACTTCAAAGAGAAAAGTGATCAGGTGATGAAACAAATAGGGACAGAAGAGATAAAAAGTTGTTGGCTAAACTTTCTTTTTTATTAAACGTGAACCGGGAATACAAACTTGAAGACTTAAAACTAAAATTAGAATCAAACTAGGGGAACCTATTTATACTAAATATTAATGAAACCTAGTAAAATACGGCCACGGAAAACAGATTCCTAAACATATACCAAAACTAAAATATGTCAGTTTTCCAAAAATACCCCTAGGACTAAAATTGTCACAGTTTTTTGGATTATCTCAACATTTTCCCCCTTAATCCATAAACTAAAACCACATTCACTCATAGGATCCTATTTCTCTCGTCTTTAAACTTTTTCTTTCATTCAAAAACTTCCCAAACAATGTCATCTCTCTTTACTCTTTGTTTTCTTTTCCTAGACTTCACTACAACCTTCACATAAAACTGATTTTGACTATTCTTATTCAGTTGTTATTTTATCTTTTGAGTTTCCAAGAATCTATCAGTAAAAACTTTAGGCATATCATTTAAACCAATATCTTTTCCTTGAAATTCCTTTTCTTCACAAATATCTAATACGAGATTCAATACATCATTACTAGTAGACTTGCCACATATATTTTTCTTCATTGATTTTGGTCCATCCTTCATTGCATGGATGGATTCTCCATTCATACCGGTCATGGAGTATGTTTTGGGTTCAAAGGTTTGTAGAGTACATGTAAGGTAAACTTGTTTGAAGTGTAATATTTATCTACATGATTTGCCACATGAATTACACTATATCTCAATCAGGTAGCTTGTACGACTTTAACCCATTCTTAATTTTAAGTGACAATGGAGTAACATCCAATACCATCACCTCTTTTACCATCTTCATAGTCTTATCACATAACTCTGAATCTATAGTTGTTGCTTTATAATCCACAACTTTGTTTGGATTGATTTTCTTGAATAAATCCTTCCTATCAAAGAACTTTAGTTTCTTAATGCTCTCCTTATGCATTATTTCTTTTTTGGTTGTAGCTTGATCACTAACATATGAAAAACCCTTCTTTAATTTCTCACATTCAACCAATCTTCCTAAAAAAAATCCCTTAATGTAGATCCATCTCATATTTCCTCTCGAATTCAAGATGGGTGTTACTAGTAACAACCGTAAGCTCAAATTTACCTTCTTCGTCAATTTGGCATTTAGGATCTATATCACTTAGCAAGATTTTGTATAAACAATTTTGAGATTTTTTTACCTTCATTGGTAATCTTCCCTTTTTGTCATGAATCCACAAAATGCGCCATGCATCATGATTTGGTTAGCATTATGTGCTAATCGACCTAGGCTTATTATGTTACTACATAAACTTGGTATGTAGTATACGTTCAAAAGTAGTCGATTTTCACCATTCTTGCAAAGGAACAAGATTGATCATTTACCTTCAATTCTGACCTTCGAACCATCTCCACACTACACATAACCTTGGTTTTTTTTTTGTTAAGATTTCGAAACTTAGTCTTATCATCGGTCATGTGATTACTCGCGCCATTATCAAGGTACCACATCTTGGATTGATGTTACTTTTTTTCACCTTCCATTATCAATATTGGGTTGACCTTTTGTTCATTCAAGAACACTTCATCTTCGGGCTATTTGTTGTGGACTACTACCATTACTAAAGTTGGTTCATTATCTACATGACCATAGGTTAGGTTTGCTTCGTATTGTCTCTCTCATCTTGGGGTTTTGCATTCGGCAACATAATGTCCATATTCTTGGCAATTGTAACATTGGATGCAACTCTTGTCTCGATTATCATTCGTACCACGAGTTCCTTCACAAGACTGATGGTTGTTTCTTCTTCTATGACCTCCACGGTTTACGTAATTGCCACCACGACTTCTTCCCCGGCCACCTTGGTTTTGTGTGTTGCTTGTATTGTTTTCCCCTGGAGCATGGTCTTCATTTTATTTTTCCTGACTTCATGTCCATTCATGGTGAGTGAGTAACAATTTCTTTTCATCTTGTTCTTCGTGTTCAATATGCCCACAAATTCTCTCCTCAAGAGCTTTGAGTCTCTTGATAACCTCCTCGACAGTCATCGTTTCAAGATCCACGAATTGATCGATTGTTGAATCAATTTGCACGAACTTACCTGCTACAACACAAAGCAACTTTTTCACAACATATGCTTCGTCCATGGTATCTTCCAAGGCTCGGATGTTGCTCACGATGATTCCTTTCTGCACCCATGTACATGATCTTGAGTGTTTCCTACATTATTTTGTCGTTTTCTTCTCCATTATCGACAACAAGATCTCTTCCGGGATTGCTTAGTAAACCACTACCATAGCTATCTTATCCTTCTTAACTCGAACAGGGTTATGGGGATTCTTAGGTTCAATCGCATCCCAAACCTCCTATGCATGAACACCTTCATATTAATCGTCCATACAACATAGTTGGTTCTAGTCAAGAAGTGATAATACATCTTTGGTCCTTCCGTGGTGTTGGATGTGAGCAATCGACTTTCCTTAGCTCTATATCAACTGTAAATTCTAAACATGGTGAATAACCTTGATCAACAAGGTTCAGACTTTATGACAGAAACAAAGCAACAGGGCAGAAAACAGGGGATAAGAATGGAAAAAGAACTTTTGGAAAATTGACTTGTTCACCAAGCCTTTCAAGTGTAACTAAAACGCATGCAAGAATAGAACAAGCAGGTCTTTGTAGCAAAAGAACTTTTGGAAAATTGACTTGTTCACCAAGCCTTTCAATTGTAACTAAAACACATGCAAGAATAGAACAGGCATGTCTTTGTTTTTAAAAACATCAAAGAGAAATATGATCTGGTGATGAAACAAACGGGGACAAAAAAGATAAAAACTTGTAGAGTAAACTTTCTAAACTTTCTTTCTTATTAAACGTGAATTAAAACTTATTTATACTAAATATAAAACTAGGGGAACTTATTTATACTGAATATAAAAGAAACCTAGTAAAATACGGCTACAGAAAACACATTCCTAAACATATACCAAAACTGAAATAGGGCAGTTTTCCCAAAATACCCATGGGAATAAAATTGTCCTAGTTTTGTGGATTATCCCAACAAGAGATACCAGTTCTGCCTCTTTGATGCAAGGAAAGAAAAGAAATAGATGATGGGTGAAAGATTATATATCAAGAAAAGGATATGAAGATTGAATAACCCGTCTCTGGAGTCCGATTGTGAGAAAAAAAATCATGTGGAGTAGAAAAACCTGAAACACTTCTACCCCATGGGTTGTAGGAGTAGAAATCCATGGAGGAAAGTATCAGACTGATTAAATCCTCCTCGCGGTTCATGTGAAATATGTGGAAGATCTCAAAATGGAAACTTTTTGATGATCTTTCTGTGGAGTTCTCATCATCCTGGTTTATGGGTTAAAACGGTTGGTTTTAAGATGAGAAATGTTTGTGACGAATTCGAAGGTGTCGATGAATAATTACAAGTTAATTTGCAGGATTGCAACCTGCTCTTTTGGGTATATTGGGAAAAAATAAATTGAAGCTCAGGGATGGTTTTAATGAGATAAAATTAGACGTTGGCTTCTTGTGTTTCTGGTATGGTGTTTCTTGTGCTTATCCATGGTGGTCGAGAGGCGGCATCAATGCCAAGAAACCCACTTTTGCAATCTCTACCATTGTTGTTTATGGGAAAAGGTTTAATCGTCGTGTTATTTTATTAGTGGGTATGAGAGGTGCTGTCAAAAGTCAATAGTGAAATATGATTGTCGTAATACTGTTGCAGTCAGATAAGAAAAAGGTAAGATGTTTGCATTCTACGAACAAAAGCATACATGTGGTTGTCATAATGCAAACCAATACAAAGTACAAGCATGTATATTAATTGAAACAAAAGCATGTATATTAATTGAAAGAAAACAGTGAAAAGGAACAATTGCAGGATGGAGACATGTCTACAAAACACTGAAAGAAAACAAAAATGAGTAGATGGGTGTCATATTTTCTTATTTAAAAAGAAGGGTATTATGGTAAAGACAAAAGTTGCATAGGCATTCTATTAATGTGATGTAGAAATATGGCTTTCATATACAATAAAGCATGAAGCATGGTGATGTCAAGAGATTCGAGGATGAATTTTCCATTGATTTTATCCATCAGTTTTCAAGAAGAAAAAAGTTTTAGAAGATTTTGCATGGAATTTTTTGATTATTTTCTTGACATGAAGATTGCAAGCCTCAAGATGAGATTTGAAGGTTTACTGTCTAAAGATGAAAATAAGTCTTGTGAGTTTTGGGTGTTACTCAAATGTATTGATGTTTGGTGGAGTTAATAAAATGTATGTTAGTTCTTAATGACTGAAAACAACCTTTGTTACCATCTTCATTATTGCACCAATATTCTTGTAAAAGGTGATATTTGAGATTAACTCCAACAAATGGGTGTTTCAAGATGTGATACTAAGTGAAAATATCTTGGTGGAATTGTTTAATGTGATTGTTTTATGTGCGGTACGTAGATGGTGTCTATTGAAAACTCAACAAAAGTAAAATACTTTGAAGATTGAAAATAACAAGAAGTTGAAGGCTATGTACAAGTCTATATTAAGGGGGGTGTTGAAATGTAATCTAGTCTAGAAGAATGTTAGTTTGGTAATTTGGTTTTGGTAGTTAAGTCTAGTTATAACCTATAACTACCAATATGAGAGGTTTTGATGGTTATGTTGAACCATTGTGATGGTTCAAGTGTATAAATATGTGTGTGATCTGTAATTGTAAACATGTAGTAGTGATTGTGATTAATATAAGGGTTTGTTTGTCTAAACAAAGTTCTCAAATAATTCTCATTTCAGTCTTTCTCTAACACCTTACTCTACTCCTAGAGATATAAGTTTATATGGTGTGCATGATACTTCCATCATCATTTAAAGAAAGGGTCGATGTATTTTCAACCATGCATGGTAATTGAATAATTTTGATTTAATTGCAGATTAATCATTATACTTCATGAAGTGCATTAGAAAAGGGATAGACACACATAATTAAAAGCAACATACATTACACCCATTCTCCTTTTAGACAATGTAGTTTTCTAACACTTAATACCATGCACCATCCTTTTATTTAGGCAACGTGTATCATTTTACACTAGATAGCAACTTATTTAGGCAATGTGTTTTCATCCTTTTGTTGTATTGTATCACAATTAATTTGATGGTTAATTAGTTAGTAATCTTGTCTTATCAAAAATAGACAAAAATATAGTCCTAAAATGGACAAAACTTTGTTATTAAATGAGAATTGACCAAAAATACATGGTTATTTTCACGTGTGTTTTACACTTAAAAACAACCAAGTGTCGGATTAAACAATTCCAACCAAGTGTCTTTGCACACAAACCGTAATTGTCTAAAATCGCTTGCTTTAGTATCTTTTGTGGATTTTAGCAAGTTCAGTGATCAATTAATATGCAATGTAACAATGACTACGTAAGTACAATTACTAGAAACCATAAGCTTAATTACCATAGATCCAGGTTCTGGTATTGTGATGCGTGAGTTCTTCATCATCTTCTGAGTTTCTTGGTTGAATGTAGGTTCTAGCTGGCATGATCGGTCTTTCATCGGCGTTAGTTACATCAGTCAGCTTGCCTCGACAGCACTGCCCTTTTCCTCTCAACAAGCGGCACAAGGCATGCATGGCTCTAGTAGCCTGTACTTCGACCACAACCATTGCACAAGGACTCGAACCCATCAATACTGTGTTAGCAAGGTAAAAAAGATGGCTTCAAAGCTGCATATAAAAAGCAGGGGGTGAGATTTCGATTGAGTTTGGGTCATTGGGTGGAGTGCATGAGTTTACGTGGCTGCATTATTTTAGTCTTTTAGAAATTAGAACAAACCAAAGGAGAATGATGGCAGGGGTTTTGTAGGTATTTAGAGCATTGAATGACATCGAAGAGGGATTTAAATCCATGCACAGTAGAATTGTCTCTTTGGTATGTGGGAAGAGCAAGATCTAGAAGGGATACAAGACAGGGGCGACCCTACCTGATAATGTGAACGCCTATCCACATAAAAATAATATTTGTGAGTTGTTTTTGTACTTTGATCCCAGATAAAAACAAATAAAAAAACAACAAATTTAAATGAATGAGAGACGTGGTGTGATGGGAGGTGAAGACAAAAGGTTTTTTCTTTATATGTGACAAAAAACTTCTTTGAGGAAAAGTATTTACCAAACATTTTCCCAAAGATGGGGTGTTTTTTAAAACTCTTTGTAAAATTTATGTATTAGTTCTAACATGTGCAGAGATACCGTTACAAAAATATAGAACTCAAGTTTGTAAATTAGTTAACAATGTAAATATTTTAAAAACAAAAGTTGTAACTAGAAATTAGAAAATTGCATATGTTAAGAGGCTAAAAATGAAAACTTTAGATATAAAAAGAGAAAGGTCCGCTGCTTCTTCATCACTAATCATTCATTGATACCTGGTATAAGTTTCCTATTCTTTCCTTGACACCTCCTGTAGAGAGACCCCCACTTCTCAATGACAACTCTTGAACCTATCCCCATTATTCGTCCAATTACTACTAGTTGTCCGAGATATGTTTAACTGCCTAAGTCATTAACGAACAGGGGATGCCCAAACCAGGGCCTGTAAATGAAACAAAAACTGATAATCTTGATAAGCTAGAAGTTTTCCAATACGTTACACACATTTATCTTCTATTTATTTCCTTCTTTTCTTTCGTTTCTTCTGATTTCACGCACATGGGCTGCCAAGTAAACATAATTTTTTTTTCTTTTTCTTTTTGTCCTTTCTATGTGATTAAAGGTTCTGTTACAAATTACAATTGTTTCTAGAAATGGGAATGGATTCGTCAAATAATATGATACAAAATGAAGAACTTTATTTATCGCGCGTGTAATCATATTTTCCATTCCAATGGCAAATCAGCATTTAAGGAACCCCACAACCCAACTGTCTTTGCTCTGCAGCTTTCTCCCATTTGTATTTAGTATCAATTCAGCCATTTCACAGCTATATGAATAGATTTGGTTGTATGCATATCATATATCTATTTTTTTAAATAACCATGTGCAACTACATTTGGTTGGATTAATTCTTTTTAGTGTAATTCCTTTCTCTGGTGCAGGGATTTTAGATGGAGATTATAGGCGGGGAAAGCTTCTAGCAATAGTTTTCTTGCAAATTACTACGAGGGAAAATGACTTATAAGCCCAACGAAGTTTTCAAACCGTTCAAAAAAACTCAATTATGTTGTGTCTGTTCAAGAAAACCAATGAATTAACCTTTTGTCTAAAAGAGTCCAACTAACTTACACTTCTCATTTAGGGTCAACCAGCTAATGAAAGTCAACGAATGAAATGGCTTATGACGTATAATTAAATATCGAGAAAATGACTTGTAAGACCAACGAAGTTTCGAAACCGTTCAAAAAAACCCCAATCATGTTTTGTTTGTTAAAAAAAACCCAACGAAGTTATGCTTTTGTTTAATTCTCATTAAAGGCCACCAAATTCATTAGGTATAAATTAGTTGGCAAATGACATAACATTATATTTAATGACATAGAATAAACAGATTAGAATTACCCTTTATATATCGATTTAGGGCTTGGAGAAGAGAAAAACGAGCGGTGTCTGTCTTCGATCTCTTGTAATAGCTACTACTTATTCTTCTTCTCAATCGTTGATGTCAAACTCAAGATTTACAAATAAGATATTTGATGATGAAAACCCTTGTGGATGTGGACGCCATTCTTGGATTTGGACATCTAGAACAGAGGATCATCTCGAGAAAAAAGTTCAGGGCTTGTTCGAACAGATGGGTAAGTGTATTCAGTGTTGCAAAACTCAGCCTACTCGGCCGAGTACTCGGCCGATTACTCGGAATCGGCCCTCCACCGAGGCGAGTAATGTCAACTCGGCCAAAAAACTCGGATTTAGTCAAAATCAGCCAAAAATCGGTCAAAAATCGGTCAAACTCGGTCAAACTCGGCCAACTCGGTCAAAATCGGGCAAACTCGGTCAAAGGGTCAAAATTGTCATAAAAAGAGAAAAAAATCAAGAATTTCAAGATTAATATGTATAATGCACTTAATGATTTATTATTTAACACAAACATGTGATTATTACTACATATATATCTTAAATTTTCAGTAATTATCCACGTAGTGAGACAATTATGTGTATTTCAGTTTTTATGTATTCACATGTATCTAATTTTGGTTATATATTTCAATCAAATTATGATTTTAACTTATGATTTTGACATATATAATTTTCCAAAAAATATTTCTACATGAATTACCG